CGGCACGGGGGCGGCACGGCCTCAGCCGTTGGATGGAGCCCCCCGCCTGCTGACCGTTGGATCTAGGGGTCGGGTGGGACGGCTATATAAGCCAACCGCCGCGGCGCCGCTCCTAGCTCTCCGCCTCCTAGCTTTCCAAACCCTATCTCATTCGTCATTCTGTCCCCTGTCCCCATTCCAGCCGCATCGAGCTCTCCGCCTCTCCCATCGACTGAAACCCTAGCCGCTCTCCTCTCTTCTTCCCGCCGTCCGGTGGCTGGTTAAGGCGGCGGTTGCTGGCACGGGCACACGACACTTCTACACCACTCTTCCTTCTCCTTGACCGTCGATGTAGCTTTCTCGTCGAGATCCACCACCGTTCGTCTTCGTCTCTGTCTGGTCGCTCTCATCGACCTCGCCGAAGTCCGGCATCATTGGGGCTCTGCTCTTATGCGTTGAGGTACCAGGGTGTCGGGTCGGCGTGACGTCGTCATTGCCGTTGTCTCTGGTGCTCCGTCAAGAGAGGTGAGTCGTAACCCTAGATCTGTTCGTTTTTGTTCTTCTTCTTGATTTCTTCATGATCTTCTATTAACCCTAGGTGTTCTTATTGTTCTTGGTTTTGGTAGGCGTTGGCGTTGAGGGACCGGAGGCCGGCACGGGCACACGGCACGGCCTTCTACACCACTCTTCCTTCTCCCTGACTGTCGATGTAGCTTTCTCGTCGAGATCCACCACCGTTCGTCTTCGTCTCTGTTTCGTCGCTCTCATCGACCTCGCCGGAGTCCGGCATCATTGGGGCTCCGCTCTGATGCGTTGAGGTACTAGGGTGTCGGGTCTCCGTGACATCGTCATCGCCGTTGTCTCTGGTGCTCCGTCAAGAGAGGTGAGCCGTAACCCTAGATCTGTTCGTTTTTGTTCTTCTTCTTGATTTCTTCATGATCTTCTATTAACCCTAGGTGTTCTTGTTGTTTTTGGTTTTGTTAGGCGTTGGCGTTGAGGGACCGGAGGCCGGCGACGACGAGATGTCGGACGAGCAGGAGGACATCGGTCTCTCCATGACCACCAACGATGAGCTGCGCCTCTATGGGATGACCGGAGACAACGAGGACGATGTCGCTGGGGATGCCGAGGAGCTCTTTGGCCGTCGTGCAGCCGAGGAACTCTACGGCCGTACTGCTGCTGACCCACTTCCCGTCGACGACATTGATGCCCCCAACACCGGTGGCGCTGTCCAGGACGACGCCGTTGCTGATGACGGCTCCAGCAGCAGGCCTAACCGCCCTTCTACCTCAGTATGCTGGGAAGATTTCGAGAAGCTCACCAAGAAGGTAAATGGTAAGGTTGTTAGGTATGGTGCTCGGTGTCTTCACTGCCATAAGGAGTATTCGGCGTACTCTAGATTTGGGACTGGCCACCTTCTCCGTCATCAAGACTATTGCCCTAAGAAGCGTGAGAAATGTTGCATGGCTCAGTCCCACATTACTTTCAATAAGGACGGTACTATGCGTAATTGGGAGTATTCGGCTGAGGTTGCTTGTGTTCAGCTTGTTCGTTTGCTTGCTAGGTTAGATCTTCCCCTCCGTCTTGGGGAAACTAAGGCCTGGGAAGATTACATAAAAAGCTAGTCATAACCCTAGGTACACAACTGTTTCTAAGCAAACTACAGCTAGAGATCTTTTTAAGTACTTCAATGAAAATCGTGATCGTTTGATGGATGATTTAAAGAGTAATGCCATTTCATCTGTTGCTATTACCTCTGATATCTGGTCTAGAAATGCAAAAGAAGATTATTTGAGTGTTGTTTGTCATTACATTAATGCTGATTGGCAACTTGAAAAAAGGGTGCTTGGCTTAAGGCTTATTGATGCATCACATAATGCTGATAACATTGCTAAACGTGTTAGTAATGTGCTTAATGATTATGGTATATTGAAGAAGGTTTTTTCTGTTACTTTGGACAATGCCTCTGCTAATACTAAAGCTATGGATAAACTAAAACCTGTACTTAGAGAGTATTTGGGTGTTGATCTGTTTTTGTATCAATGCTGTGCTTGTCATATCATAAACCTGATTGTTAAAGAGGATCTAGTTGCTGTTAGTCCTATGCTTGATGCTTTCAGAACTGTTATATCATTCATTAACTCTTCTAACCAGAGAGTTGCTGCATATAAGAGCTATTGCATGGCATCTGGTATTAGACCTAGGAAGTTTGGATTGGACATGGAGGTTAGGTGGAACTCTACCTACCTGATGCTTAGGCATTTGCTACCACACAAGGAAACTTTTCATACTTTTATTGAGTCTAATTATCCTAGAAAAAGAGCTGACCCCTTTCTTTTGACTCATGAGCATTGGGCTATGGCAACTAAAATACTGGAATTCCTTGAACTGTTTTATAACTCAACAGTTGCTTTGTCTGGTGTGTACTATCCTACTGTCCCACTTATGGTTCATCATATTGTTAAGATTGTTATACACCTGCATAGGTATCAAAATGATGAGCATATTAGAACTGTTGTCCAACCTATGATTCATAAGTATAATAAATATTGGAGAATCATACCTGAACTTTACTGCATTGCATTTATCTTGGATCAAGAACTAAAATTAAAGGTTTTAACAAAGTTCTTAGGAAGTTAAATTTGCTTACTGATGCTGATTATTCTAATAAGATGGTGAAAACTAGAACTCTTCTTTTCAAACTGTATCATAAGTATAATGATTTGTATGGCTCTGTTAGGGCGAAAAGGCCTGACCCTCCAAGCCTATCTGGTAAGAAAAGAACAACTTGGGCTGAGATATATAATGATGATGATGGTGGTGGTTTGCTTGGAGCTGGCTATTCTTCTCTTCCTCCTAATCTTGATATGTCCAGGACTATTCCTGCTACTACTTTGTTACATGCAGCAAGTTCATCTAACACCGGTTCTGAACTTTCAGCTTATCTGGACTGTGACACAGTTAGCCAGATGGATGATGACTTCAACATTTTGAACTGGTGGCATTAGCATAAACTAACATATCCAGTTCTTTCTACCCTTGCTAGAGATGTTTTCAGTGTGTCTTGTTCTACCATTTCTTCTGAAGCTACTTTTAATACCACTAGCAGGATCATTGAAGACCGGCGGCGGAGGCTGAACCCTGAAACTGTGGAGGCACTCACATACATCAAGGATTGGGAAGCTGCAGAGACAAGGCTATATCATATGGTGGAGGATAAAGAGCTCGAGGAGGCCTTTGAACAACTTTATCTTGATTAGTCATTTATGTAATGGTTCTGTAATCTTAAGACTTGGATGCTTTGGACCTTTGGTTGTGAATGCAATGAACAATTGAACTTATGGAGCTGGTTGCACTCTTTTTCCCTGTCTAGGGTTTCTCACAAAGGTGAGTTTTATCTAGACAGGTTTTTAATGAGGCAGCCATTGCACAGCTCCTTTAATTTGGTATTTTATTATCTCTGTCTTGTGTTTTCTTCTTTGTGATTTCAGATTTATCAGATTTCAAGTTTGTTTTTAACTGTTCTTTTGATTTTGATCTGTTGAAGTGGTGATGTGGTTTTAGTGCCAAAGCACGACACTAGTCCGCTGGGCTACCGTGCCCTGTGGCATGGCACGGCACTATCTGAGGGCTTTAGTGCCATGCCTGGGTCAGAGTCTAGGCACGGTGGCACTACACGGCAGTGATACCGTGCCCGATAGTGCCGTGCTTGATAGTGCCGTGCCATTTAGTGCTAGTGCTGTGTAGTGCCAGTGCCGCCCATTTGGAAAACTATACGCATGTACCAATCGAGAATGCCCACTTAGACGAGCCGTGCAACGACGCACATATATAAATTCATCAGAATACTTCACGTACGTACGTTCGTCCGTATAGTACGTGTATTCATACTGCGCACGCTATAGATATTTCTTTTTCTTTGTTTTTGAAATTACTGGCAGGACTTCTGCCAGGCAAATCACAACCAGAATTTACAGCTTCTCCGATACAAGTGAGTGGGGTCCGTCTAATATTTAGCATTCAATATTAGTATGAGAATTTTTTTCCTATCAAATGCCTTTTAGAGAGGCTTCTTATGTGTTACGATATTGGTAGTCATATATAAAGGAGAGAGCCATAGATTTCTCTTTTTTTTTTTAAAGATAGCTATAGATACTTTCACATATGTACTGACGATAAATAGTTAATCGATCGATTGAGCTCGCATAGCCGTCTCTTGTGTGTGTGTTGTATAAATGGCGATGAGATAATGCATCTGCAGTTCTGCTGCACCCACCGCTTGCTGGTTGCTGCTGTGTATTTACGCCACGCCAAGACGAGTGCATGCATTACGCTCCATAAATCTCCGAGACAAAATCTTAATCCTTACCAGTGTCTTGTTTAGATTGCAAGTTTTTTTTTTTTTCTCTCCATCACATCAAATTTTTGGACACATGCAGAGTATTAAATGTAGATAAAAAAATAACTAATTACACAGTTTGATTGTAAATTACGAGACGAATCTTTTGAGTCTAGTTAGGCCATGATTAAACAATAATTGTCAAATACAAATGAAAGTGCTACAATACAAAATACTGATTTCTAACCCCAGTAACCAGACCCAATACTGCCCCGTACAGACCACAACACACACATGACACGCACCGACGCACGTCTTCTGCACTCACTCTGCAGACATCACACACATACACAGAGACAAAGGTAGAGACCGAGGGACGACGCGGCCGGAATTATTACCTAGACCCGTTCCATTGGCACCCCGATGTCCAACATACACTTCAGCTAGCTAGCTTCACTTCTCATCCTATAGCTGGCCCATGGAAGAACGGGTCTACGCAATAATTCCTTTCTGATCAACTCGAACACACACACGGACACACAAGGAACACGTACGTACCCACGTACGCAAAGGACACAACTGACGGCATGCAGTTGCGCTGGCCATGGAGATTACCATGGCTCGCGCGCCCGGCTAGCTCTTGGCCGGCCGGTGAAAGGACGGCGACGCTAGCCGTCAGGCGTCAGCCTCGCTTGCCGCCCTTGCCCTTGGCGCCGGCGTGGCGCGGGTCGTTGGGGGCGTCGTTGAAGTCGAGGAGCACGGTGCTGTGGCACTTGGGGCACCGGGGGTCCTCCCGCGACAGCATCACGTACATCATGCACCGGGGGCACCCCGCCAGGATCATCGGCGCGCCGGCGCCTGCTCCCGCCTCGGGGCTCCCCTCCGACGACACGCACGAGCTCGGGGGAGAAGCGGTCGAGGAGGACGACGACGACAGCCTCCTCGGCGAGCCCCCGCCGACGCCGTGGTGGTGGGTCGTCGCCCCCGACGAGCCCCCGGCCGCGCCCCCGCGCGACGACCGCGACAGGCTCAGCCGCAGCTCCTGCAGCTTCGACCCGACCTTGCCGTTGTTCCTGCTCATCTTCCAACACTGCCGCACGCAACTGATCAGTACTAGCTTAGTTAGCTAGCTATCTCGTGTGTGTATGCACTGTGGAGTAGTGGGAGCTGGAGCTACGGGGAGGACGGAGGCCGCGCAGCCACTCGCCGGCGTATGTACTGGTGGTGGTTCCTGGTGCTGCTGGAATGGAAGTGGAACCAGGATACCTCGACCGTGTGCCTGCCTGGGTATTTGTGGTGCGGTGGTGCAACTCCCGTTTGCGTTATATAGATGATGATGCTCGTTGAGGGCGAAGGAGGTGATGGTTTTCTTTATTGCCATGAACAGCAGCATTTAAATCCCTGTAGCTTCCCATGGCCAAACGGGCCGCCCGGGCACGACACGGCACGGCACGACACGGGCACAGCGAGGCACGGCAAGGTGGGGCACGGCACGATGGGGCACGGCAGCGCTGCTGTGCCGTGCTGCGTAGTGCCGTCGCGCCGGCATCCAGGCCCAGGCATGGCCCTATGGCAACTCAGCCGTGCCGATGGGCACGACGGCCCGTCGCCATGGCCGCAGTCGAGACGCACTCGCGTCGGACGCGCCACCGTCGCCACCGTCACAGACGTGTCTCCACCGCGCGAGCTCGCCCCCGCTTCCGTGCCGCTACGCCCTGGCTGAGTGCCGGCGCCGCGAAGACGCACCCCTGGCCGTGCCACCGCACAGAGGTCGCAGCGCCGTTGAGCAGACGGGAAGGACGGGAGCATGAACAGAGGAGCCGCCATGGGGAGCCGCAGTGGGGAGCTCGGGAGGACCGGAGGAGGAGCTGGGCGGGACTGTAGGGACGGGAGAGGTCGGACATGGGAGGAAGGCGCGACTGCGCGTGGAGGATGAGAGAGATCGAGAGATGACGACTACTTGGAGGAATCCTTGGAGGAGTTAGGTTTGGTGCTATATACTCTTATCCAACGGCTATGGAATCCTCTGAAAGCATCCGATGGCTAGAATTGATCGGGCCGCGTCGTGCTGGCCCATTATGCGTGCCGTGCCTGGGCAGGCACTACGGGCCGACATGGCGGCCCAGGCATGGCACTACGACCGGGCCGTGCTAGGCACGGGCACGATGGGAGCCGGGCCGGGCCGTGCCTGGGCCGTACTTCTTAGTGTCGTGCTTGGGCCGGCCCATCGTGCCTGGGCCATATGGCCAAGTATTTGCTTCCCTAGCTCCACCCTGCTGCCACACGCTCTCGTCTGAATTCTGATGCCGGCTAGCTAAGCTCTCTTTCTCTCTCTCATGTGATTGGGGATTTAATGTATTACTAATTGGATTGAAAAATTGGATGGTGCGAGAGTTAAGGGTTTTCCAGAGATGAACATTACATTGTGGGTGAATTGAAGGGGAGTAGTGGAGGGATATATAGTGCCAGTATTTCCCTTTGAAATAGTAACAACTGAGAGTGAGGCCATGGAGGCCCGGCATAGGTACGGAGGATGCGTTAATGTGATGGGGGTACGTATCTTAATACTGGTGTCTGTCTGCAGTAAATAGTACTCAATACATGTCTGCGGGTATGGGTACTATTTTTTCCATTTTATTATTATTACTAAATGAATCCACTCCTTTAAAAACCGTCATGTTAATCGCATGGCTCCCAGATGAAGCTTAGAAATTCTCATAAAATGAGCCAGAAACATCTAGACATCGATTCGGTAGACTGATACTAGATAGAGGTCAGACCTTTGTGTTTTACTCATCCTAGTCTGTTTGAATTATGTATGGTGAGAAAGGGAACACTGTACAGAAATTTGGGGGAGCAAAGAGGTATTCTAATTAGGGATGAAAATGGTCAAGGAAAAGGGCCTAACTGTTTTCAAACTCATTCTTACACATAAACGGAAACTGAAATGGGAGCCGGTCGAAAAATGATATCGGGAAAAAATAGGATATCGAAAACAGAACAAACTAATCGAGAACTCATCGATAATGGTCAACAGATAGTAACTCCAAGTGAGAGCACCGACTAACATGGCCACTTCAAATGGTCAGTACCAGCAACAGATACAAATATAATGTCACAAACCAAAGAAAAAGGTGGATCTAGTTCTTCCACCATGCCAAGATATCAAACTGACCACTAAATCTCATAGGTGGATCTGCCATATATTTATCCAACTCATTTAATTCATCCTCATTTGTCTGTGATGACTGATATAAGTAACTTTCTAGTTCATCATCATTATTATCCACTAACAGATATGATGTTTCAATTTCAGAGACAGAAGGTTCATTTTGATCTACCCTTAGCCCTTGAGAAGAAGGTCTAGATGTAACATAAAACTGATATAATTCCTTAATTACATCTACTATTTCATCTACATGAGCCTAGTATGAAATACCATGTAACTTCTTCATATAGAATTCATAAGCCTTTTCTTGTCAAGCAAAAGTACTGAGTTCAATTTCAAATCATATTAGAACAGATAACTATTGTCGACTAAATCTCAGTACCACAATTTGCCCAGGTGACCACACAACAACCTATACATTATGTTGCAATGCAGAGCATGTTTGCTAGTGAATTTTTAAAATCGTTTGTTTTTCACTATAGATAGTTTAAAAGATGGTTTGATCGACATGGCACATGTTAGCTGTTCACCGTTCTACATGGTTTCACATTAGCCACAAGAGGGTACATAAGACTAATTCATACTTAGCTTCTAGAGTAAATGAGACTACTAATATTTTTTTTAAATAGTATCAAATATATTTGGGACTCTTGCATTTGTACCCTTATTTTGTATCGAAATTGTGATTTTGCCCCTATTTTTTTGACTTTGTGAATTTACCCCTATTGTGCCATTCACGAAGCATCAGTTTGCCCCTGCTCCGTCATCCACCCCTAACGGTGTTAAACTTTGTACAAAAGACATGAATGCCCATGTGATTTTGCCCCTTGTTTTTATGCCTAATTGTGATTTTGCCCCTGTCTGGCCGAGGCTCGGTTGCGCGTGGCGCGGGGTCGACCGTCCGGCCATGGCGCGGCCACGGGAGATGCGGTGCTGGGGCCTAGCCGCTGGGGCGTAGGGTCAGGCTGTGGCCGCTGGGGGTACGGGGACGTTGCGCGTGGGGAGCGGGGCCGGGCCGCCTGTGCGCCGTGCCGAGGACGCGAACGCCGCTGGGGAGGCGCGTGGATAGCGCACGGGCAGCTCTCAATCTCGTGCTCCGGTCCACGAAAGCGCGAGCAGGGCGGCTCTACAGCACCAGGGCGACGTCGCGAACTCGGTTGGCCGGTTCTTGGCGGCGGGAAGTTGGCAACGGCTCGATGTCCTCCGTCCAGCAGTAGAACTCGGAGAGGTCGAGCGCCTGAGCGCCAAAGCAGCGATCGAGGAGCGGCTCGAGATCCGTCTTGAGTCGAGGGCGGGCGGCGCCAAAAGCCGGTCTACGAAGCTTGACATCTGCGGGCGGCGGACCTCCAAAGGCGGTGTGTGAGGTGGCGAGCGTGGTAGGTCACGGCAGAGATGACGAACAGCGAGGATACGGCGAGAGAAGCGATGGCGAGGCGCGCCGCGATAAAGCGCGTTCGCGCGACCTCCTCCACCGTCCGACGAACGGCGCGGCACGGCGTCGGCGAGACGGCCCATGAGGAGAGAGGAACGGGTGGCCCCACGGCGACACCAGCGAGAGGTCGAGCCGCCCAGCGCCACGGGAAGCAAAGATCGACGGCTGATGAGGTAGAGGAACGCGTCCGATCATGGGTCCCCGCAGCAGCCGAGCAGCCAGCAGCGTGGCTTCGCTCCCGCCATGAGGAGTCGGTGTACGCACGCCAAATAAAGTATGCAACGGCGCGATCATGACATGCGCAGCGTCGAGAAAGCCAGGATGTGGAGCAGCGGCGGCTCCGGCAAGTCCAGGAGCGGATAGCAGCGAAGAGAACGAGCGGATAAGAATGAAGAGGAAGGGGCATTTCAGTCATTTCACATTTGATTTTATGTGTTTTATTTTTTTAAATCGTTTAATCAGCCCCTAAATAATGGACATCCAAACCAGGGGCAAACGGCTCCTTCGTTTCAAAATAACATGGGTAAAATCACAAAGTTAAAAAAAATAAGGGTAAAATCACAATTGAGCTTCCGGACAGGGGCAAAAACACCGTTATTTCCCCTAGAAAATTAAAACCCAAGAATCTTGTTCAATCTTAGAAAATTTGTTTTAGCTGAGCTCAGAAGATTTTGAAACCAGTTTCATAATTTTGCTAAAATCATGCTATCTTATGGTGCCTAACTTGGAACTATTTAAGTCTTCTACTAACTCGTTTGGAAGTTTATTCGTTGGTAGATAGGTTATCTTTTATATTTAGCCTACGACTCTACGTTGAAGACCCAAACTACATAGTACGTAGAGACCATGATTTTTCTATGATTGAATTGAATTTTCTATGTTTTTTCTAATATTAAATTACATTCTAGGATTTTTATTACATATTTTTTTTTAATATTTAGATATTTTTAAAAATATTTATAGCCTGATTTACCTTGAAATATTTGCCGCCTCTTAACATGATGCCAGAATAAAACTACCTTATAAAACCACTTAGATGCAAAAATAAATGATTTTAAAAATTGAAAGTGGAAATCGGATTTATAAATTAGAGGAAAGTTAAGACTTAAGAGGGTCAAAAGGATTTCTTTTCCAAGTCCAATATGAACGTGGGCTTGTTGGATTATTTCATCATTTCATGATGGCCTAGGTAGCGGATATGGTCCTAAAGGGTAAAGGATGGGCCTAACCGGACGAGCTGAGACCAGAAGTCCTGGATAAGAAGGATGAGCTAGGCCTTAGGCCTGGTGCAGCTGGATCACCAGCCCATTTCGCACCTTTCATTCAGCTAGAATCGCACCTTTCCATCTAGAAGTGCAGTCACCAAAAAAATTTCAGTCCAAACCCGAAAAAGCGGAGCTGCCACAGGTTACGCTCGCACTTGGGCTCAGTTTCTAAAAAAACAAACCCTGACTTGGGCTCAATTCAAACCTGCTGGTAG